AGAACGGCTCCATCATCTCAGAATGGCTCCATCATCTCAGAGCGGCTCCATCATTTAAGAACGGCTCCACCAGCTACAGTACGGAACAGCTCCACCAGCTACGGAACAGCTCCATCATCTACAGAACATCTCCATCACCTACAGAACGGCTCCATCATCGGAGAACGGCTCCATCATCTCAGAACGGCTCTATCATCTCAGAACGGCTCCATCATCTCAGAACGGCTCCATCATCTCAGAACGGCTCTATCATCTCAGAACGGCTCCATCATCTCAGAACGGCTCCATCATCTCAGAGCGGCTCCATCATCTCAGAGCGGCTCCATCATCTCAGAGCGGCTCCATCATTTAAGAACAGCTCCATCGTCTACGGAACAGCTCCACCAGCTACGGAACAGCTCCACCAGCTACAGAACAGCTCCATCACCCACAGAACATCTCCATCACCCCACAAAACAGCTCCATTACCCACAAAAACCCCCTTGCTGTCCCTTTGGAGTCACCGTTGCCCTGGAAATCACTCAGGTGTTCTCCTTCCCTATAATTTTATCTCACAGTACTCCACATCTATCTTTAACACATAAATAGTACACCTGTATTTGCATAGGTATTTAACTAATGTGCCCTTTGTTAGAGAAACTCCCTGGCTTTGGGGGAGAAGCATCTAACTTGGATCACTGAAGCATTTTCCCTTTGGTCATTAATGTCCCAGGCTAAGCATAGCACCAGTACACAGCACAGGGGGAAGACAGGACTGCACCCCTCACCCTGCTGAAGCACATGGTTCTAAGTTGGTCATGATCCATCTTTGATACACGGTGTGAACAAGTTGGAAGGGATGCCAACATCCTGGCAACTGTTTCTAATCTGGGTGTTCCAAGAATCTGACATCATGCTTTAATTTGGAAAGCAAGTATTTCTGCCTCTACTAACTGTCTCTGTGAGTAAGCACACATTAAAACAGAAAACACTTTTAAATTTAAACAAGTATCTCAAGAGATATAAATTCCATTCCAAGTTAAGGTTATTCAGTGGCAGCTGGGTGCAGTGCCTC